ATTTTAAGTTTATACTTTACTTTTCCCATCATACATTCATAAGCTATAACTCCAACTGCAAAATAATCTGCTGCCACTCCATGAGCTTATCTACACATAACCTCAGGAGCCATATAACCGGGTGTTCCACTTGTATCTCCATCATTTCCTGGTTTCCATATTCTTGCAATACCAAGATCTGTCAATCTCAAATATCCTATTTATTGTAAATTTATATTAATCTACCATTTTTATCAAAGACTAAATTTTCTGGTTTAATATCTCTATGTATAATGGTATTATGATGAAGATACTCTAATCCTAAAAGTATGCAGATGACAAAAAATTCTAGAGTTATTAAATAGTTTCTTTACTTGTCTATTCTTCATTAAACTTCCTATTTTTACAAATATGAAATCTAAGATCTCCTCCAGTCATAAGATCCATTACTAAATAGAGACTTTCTCGATCTTAAAATGCTGTGTGCATATTTACTAAAAATCTAGTTATACAAATTTCATTACGGATGTCTAAGATTGCTTAATAAGTATCTCTCATTCATGACGGAACCAATACTTTTTTTATTAATAATTCTATTAAAATTAATGAATAAGCTAATACTTGCATTTCTACATTTCTTTGATAGCATATTGAAGTTTAGTTTTTTTATGTTCAGCTTTCCAGACCCTCCCAAATCCGCCTCTTCCAATTACATACAAAAAATTATAATCACATTTATTAGGCACTAAGGTATAAAGCATATTTACATTTTATTTCGCTAACATTTAGATCTTGAGCATTATTGCAATTACCCATTAAATAAAAAATATATAAATTTTTAATCGAGCTCATAATTCAAATTTGGTATGACCTTTCTAATTGATATCTTCTTCTTTAACTATAATTTATTGTTAAAGTTATTAAATATCAAGTATATTTTTGACATATTTTTAAGGACCCAAAAGTTATATCAATTAAAGTTTTAGCTTTTCAAGTCCTTCTGCTTCTCTCTTAATATATTCATATGACTTAGCCATATCATATGCAGCTCTATTATTTAAATAATGTAAAAATAATTACAATTCAAATTTGTTATAATGTTAAGTAAACTATTGCTAGAATTCAATTAGTTATTTAATTTCTTATTATTCTCCTACTTTAAATATACCAAGATCTAAATAATAATAAGATTAATTACGATTTATAGCTGCATCTATTGTTTTTTTTAAATCAAATGGTAAAATATGATCAACCAGAGTATTGAAAATGACATTACATAAATAATCTCTCTTCTCTGAATTCACTCCAAATTCTTTATCCAAAATTTACAATTGCTTTTTTGTGATGTTCTTACTTAAATTTTAGAATTAATTTTAATAATTCAAATTAAAATCTGATATCTAATCATATATATAATTTATTTACTAGAGAGGGTATTTTGACACAATGATTTATAAATAAATTCTGTTAATCAAGGTTTTTTTGAAGAACTTCTATTTGTTTACTAAGTTCAGCTACTTTCATCTCAAGAAGTTCTACATATATTTTCTTACGCTTTCTTGAATCCCTTGCAGATTGTCTATTCTTTGCCAATTTTATTTTATTACTGTCATCCAGGTCTTATTCTTTTTGATAGTATCCATTATCTTTTTCAAATAATTTCTTTGCTTTAATATATGCCTTTTAACTATTTTATATATTATTTTATATTACTCTTTTTTAATGGCAAAAGATGATTCCTAAGGAGTGGGAGCTATTTCAATAAGTGAGTTTATTTTATTCACATAAACACTTTTTGAATAATTCACATTAAATAAGTCTTAATTATTCATTATGATTTATTCATTATGTTTGCCTTAGAGTCTAAATTTTCTTATTTAATCATTATGAGGAGAAGAAAGTAAATGATGATCTTCTTCCCCAAACATCCATTTATTTGTCATTTGATCAAGTTCATAAGAGGAATTAATTAATTATATTAAGGTATCTGAAGGAATATTTTCATAGGATGCTTTCATATTTTTTAATTTATTGAAATAATATTATTATATGCTCATGAAGATTGAAATAATGATAATAACGATGATGTAAAATCATTTATTTTTGATAAATTAAATCATTTCATAGCATCATTATTTTATTACGTAATAAAAAAAAAAAATATTGAAACTTGAAAATTTATTCTATATTAATGTTAATTAAATAGGATCAATATAAATTTAACAAATTTTTTAATAAACCTATTTTAATTTCTGTTTGTTGATGGTAATATAAGACTTTATATTTAAATTAATAAATCTTATGTAAGTATTTAATATTTTGTATATAAAATTTATAATGATTAACATCATTGTTCTGATAAATAGCTGACTATTGAACTTAATGCAACTGTTAAAGTTGTAATGAAGATAAAAAACACAGAATAAATAAAGAAATAATAATATGCTAAATTTTTTGTCAATTTGAATCTAGATATATATAATAAATAATACTTTTTAGTAATTACTACAATGCATGTCATTATAATATTCATCAATGAAAATATAATAACACAATAAGCAATAGAATTATTCATTCTAGTTATAATCTAACTTTACTGATAAATTTTACAATGTCAGTTTATGAGCCACTTTTTACATCTCTAAAGAGATCAAAAGAAACAATTCCTGGATATTTTTCAATAGCAGTCAATCTAACCAATGCCCCTCCAAAACCACATAACATATTAAAAACAGTTCCTGAAAAACATCCTGTCATAGCCATCAATCCATAACCAATTGATGCTAATTTAGTATTAACCAAGAAATCACAAGTAGAATTTCCAAATGCTAAAAACGTCATACCTAAATAAGAATAACTCACTCCTGTAATTGTTTGTATTAACTAAAAATAGATTAAAATAATTAGTACTAAAATGAAATCAATCAAAACTTAAATAACTTATTTACACCATATAATTGAACATACAACACATTCCATAGATAATATAATAATAGGAATTTCAAATATTATTTAATAGATAAACAAAAGTAATCCAATAATTTCCAAAATAATCCATACTTTAACCTCATAAATTTCCATAGAAAATACTATTAAAAATATACATGAATATAAAATACATCCTAATAAAGCTATCATAGCTATTGGACAAACAAGTTGATGTATGGCTGCATATTTTTTATCATATTTTTCTTGATTGCTTGCAGGAATAGTTATTTTTCTAACAAATTCCAATGAAGTTATATAAATATATTAAAATTTTGAGATTGTAGACATATCTCCAAAAGGCTTCTTAAAAGATTCAGGAATTGATTCTTCTAATTCTTTTTTAAGTTCTTAATCTGCATTTTGAATGACTTAATTTCCTTCTTCTACTTCTTCCTTTTATGTCAACAATTATTTCTCTTCTTATTCCCTTCTTTCTTCTTATGAATTTATTTCATCTTATTTCTATTCTAATATGTTTTATGATTCAATTTACTATTTTTTATTGTGTTTTCATTAACCAAGACTACTATTATATATACTACATATAAAGAACAAAATCCTATAGCCATGTAATGATTAATTTATCCAATAAATGCAAATATCATCAATAATACTATAGCAACTCCATTAAATAAAATATCTCTCATAAAAGGTACTTTTTCTGCCTTAATATGTTTATCATATATAATACTTTCACTAATCCTGACAATAAAATTACTGCACCCACAATTATTGTTGTCATAAATAGCCCACTTCCAAATATACTTCCAACGGCTATCAATATACCATCATCATCCTAAGAAGCCAAAACTGCACATAAAAAGTCTGGTACACCATTTGCAAAGGCTATCAAAGTAACACTTCATATATATTTGTAAATTTACCCAGCAAATGTTTATGACATTTTGAAGTATTCAGCAATAAAAGTCACTGCAGGTGATAAATAGTCATCAACTGTCTTTGCTAAAAAGTTAAACAATATGAAAAACAAGAATGGCTATGAAATAATTAATATAATTCTTATACAGCAATTAAGATCAATATCACCCAATTTTCATCAATTTAACAGAAATAATAATGTGTAAATGGGAATATTGTTTGGTCATTGCAATTATCTTTAGCATATTGACAACTATCATCGGATGCTTTTATTAGTGAATAAAGGCAAGTGTTAGCCATTTTAAAAAACGAATATATAAAATTATTATATTTTTATATTTCCTTATTATTACTAATCAAATTCTTTGATTTCCCCTATTCATTAATTCTTTATAAGGTTTATCTGAATTCTTTAAAACTAAAAATGATTATTATTTAAAATTAGCTTTATCTTTAATAATAAATATAGTAAACAATTCTCAAATCTTTTTGATAAGCTTAAAGAGATAACAAAATATTGAATTTATTTTTTTTTGATATCAATAAATTTCTTAATTTAAATAAAAGAAAATAATTTGTCAAAAAATGATAAACTTCAAATTAAAAAATTTGTTATTTTTGATAATCTTGCAATATTTCTAATAACTAATATTAATTTTGATCTCTTATTTAGTATATTCTTATCTGTTATAAGGTTGCTATTGATATTTATAATCTTTTATATATTATAATTAACTTTGAAATAACTTTTTCATTCTTAACTATTTATTAATAACATATCAAATTAATTGAAAGAGATGATATACTCTATATATATATTGATTTAATATATAGAATTATTGAACAGTAATTAAAGTATTTTATTACAAATACTCCTCCCATTTAATAGGCTCAATAAGAGAAGGTACATGAATGTATGATTCTCAAACATTTAATGAAATTTCAGCATTAAAAGTATATATTCTCTAAAAATTTATAAAGTAATTTGCTGAAGATATTTGATATAAAAATTTTGATAGCTTAGAATTGAGGAATAATTTAATAAAAGGAAAATGTAATAAAAATTATTTAATTGATTATTAATTATGAAATATATATATATATAGAATATAAAGCTGTAATTCTCTATTTAAGAAAACAAAGTATCTTAAGATATGGGTTTGTTAAAAACTAAAGGATAAAGTGTATAGAAATTGATGGGAATTAAATTGAATGAAGAAGTTTAGCCTAATTATTCATTAAAGGTAATAAATTAATTTATTTTAGAATATCATTCCTGATTAAAAAGGAGATATTTTAATGATAATAAATTATGATTTGAGTACTACTGAAAGGTTGTTGAAATAATAAATAATAAATTTATGATGATGACATAAGAGATGGAGTATAACATATTCATTATGATAATTTATAGAATAGATAAACTACTTTATGATATAAAATTTATAAAATGTAATATAAATAGGAATTTAGTATCTCATTAGGACAGCTAGAGGAAGATTTGAATGGTGATGAAATATCACCCTCTCGATAATTTGATTCATTTAAACTAATCAATTAATTATCTATAAAAACAAAGGATTCTGTGGAACAGAAATTTAAGTAAATCAAAAGAAGATAAAATCATCATAAATCTGATATTCATAGACCAACTTAACTTCAATCAATTGATTAGAAAAATAATTAAACTGAAAAAAGAGGTGCAACTTATGAAAGACTACCTAGTGATTTACAAATAGATTCATAAATCAGATAAGCTAAAAGAAAGAACATTAAAGTTTCAGAGTAATCTCTTAGTAGAAATAATTTATTAGAATCGAATTCATCATCTTACAGTTCAAAATTGGGTTCAAAATAAAATTGTGTAAAGGGAATTTTGAAGAAGTAGACACTTGATTCTTCATTTTCTGATAATAACTCAAGGAGTAGTAGTATAGGTAGTAAGAAAAGTGTTAAGTTTAATTTATCAAAGCCAGATGTAAGAATGGCATTGAATCAATGGAAATGATTACTTTTGATTGAATTCATCTTTTCATTCTAAATGAATCAATAATTTTATTTTCTAAAATAATTAATTTTTATATAAAAATGGCTTGTTCATATGTATTTTCAGATGACAAATCTTTCCTATAAGATTTAGATTTCATGTTAGAATAATCAGATTAATGTCCTTCTTTATTAAAATACTAATCATGTTCTATTTAGTTATAAAAGTAATAATCAGACACTAAATCTAATGTATCTTGTGCTGATTTAGTTGATTTGGAGAGAGGAGGTATAATAACTTAATTATATAAGGTTGCATCCTATAAACAAAAATAGGTCCAATTTAATATGGTATGCCTCCTGAAACAATAAAAGACTGTTTAAATTTAGGAATGGAAGTTCCAACATTTTATATAATACCAACTAAAAGGTATTAAAAATAGAAATTATTAGATTTGATAAAAGACTAGGTATAAGCACTGCTGAATTTGAATTTCCTGCTTATTATAATTTCTTTTGTAAAAAGAAGTAAATAACATTAATTTGTACACCTGATACAGAAAAGGCAATTAGAACTGTTTTTTAAGAAACTTTATTAGGTCCAATTGATCATCCTGATTTGGCTCTTGATTTCTATCATAAATTTCCAAAAAGTGCTTATCCAGATTTTCATAAAGAAAGAAGTGTATTTTCAAGAAATCCATCAAATTTAGATGAAAAATTGACAATTGATCATTTATTAAAATTCTGTTTATTTGATGAAAATAACACAGCTACAATAAATGAAGGAGATATTACAATTAAAATAATTAAGGATAGCAATTAATTTAAAATCTTAGAAAATGGGATATATTAGAAAAGTATTTAAGATACATTTACATTCCCTTCATAATATTATGAATATATTGTTACAAAACCAGATGATTATAGAGCTGAAAGCATGAAAAATATTAAATCTAAAAGAGATGCTGCAAAAGAATAATGTCCAACACCATTATTAGTAAAACAATTACCAGAAATGACAGTTGAAGAAAAGGTAGAAAATTGGGTTATTGGTAATAAATATTAAAGAGGTGGTGAGAAGAAATTATCAGTAGTATTATGGGATTAGATGGGAGGACATGTTGAAAGTGGATCAGCTATTTTTTAATTAGATATTGATGAAAATAAATCATTTACACCTCCAGATTTTGGTGTTACTATTTTAGGATGTGTAATTATAATATATAATATTTTCTTTAGTCACATGGATTCGATCCTAAAGGTTCAACTTCAGGTTATATATTCTGGATTAATGGAAGAGGTATTATGGTTGATCCCCCTCCTTTTGCTTCCTATCATATGAAATAAATGGGAATACCATCAATATTAATATGTGCTGTGATTATTAGTCACTGTCATGCAGATCATGATGCTGGTACATTCCATAAAATATTGGATGATACTAGAGTAGAAATTATAACAACAAGAACAATTATGAATTCTTTTTTAAGAAAATATTCTGCAATGTCTAATATTGACATTGATTCTTTAAGAAGATTATTTATTTTTAGGTATATTTATATCATTATCTATTATAGACCTGCTATAATTGGAATTCCTTTGAATATATACGGTGCTTATTTTAATTTCTTCTATGCTATGCACACTATTCCAAGCCTTGGATTCAGTGTGAAATTAGAAAATAAATCTATTTATTTTTCATCTGATACATTCTTTGATCCAGAATAGTTGTTAGTTTATAAAAATTAAGGAATACTCTCATAAAAGAGATATGAACATTTAGCTTTCATAGAATTTAAGGAAGATCTAATTCTTCATGAAGCAGGAGTGCCTCCTATTCATACTGCATAATCTGTTCTTGGCAAATTACCAAATAATATAAAAAATAGATTGTATCTTGTTCATACAGCTTAAAAAGATTTAAAAAAAGAATTAGGTTTAAAGATAGCCAAAACTGGTATAGAAAACACTATGATTTTAATACCAAGTAATACAAATAAACATTTGACAACTATAAGAAGACTTGATTTACTTTCTACCATAGATATTTTTGAACATTTGACATTAAAAAATGTTCGATGGTTATTGGATTCAGTCACAGCTGAAGAATACTTTCCAGGATAAGATATTATTAAAGAGGGTACCTCAGGAGATAGATTTTATATAATTGAATCAGGATTAGCAAGAGTATACTCAAAGTAGAAAGGATAAGAATTTGAAAGATACTATTAGGTTGGTGATTATTTTGGTGAATCTGCTGTTTTATCTAATGAGGGAAAGAGAGGAGCAACGTAATTATTATTATTAAATTTATTAGAGTTGAAGCTGTTACAAATCTTAAAGTTCTTATATTAGAAAAACATGATTTTTGGTTTATTTTTGGAGATGGTTTAGGTGGATAAGGTCCTATTATTTAAAAAATGAAATAATTAACTGCTGCTAGAAGATCTAAAGCTGTACATTGTCTCTTTAAGAATTCTATTTTATCTGAATTAACACCTTCTCAAAAAACATAATTGGAAATGATAATGAGAGAACATGAAATTGAAAAAGGTACAGTTCTATGGAAAGTTGGAGAGAAACCAGAATTTGCTTTTATAATAAAGAGAGGAACATTTGCATTTTATGATTCTCCAGAATAAGATTTAGAAGAATTAGATTCAGGAGCATATGTTGGAGAATTAAAAGCTATGATTGAAAATACTGCTATATCTACATCTATTAGAGCAACTAGAAAAGCTACAATATTTAAGATTGCCAAAAAAGATTTAATTAGTTTTGCTAATAAACATCCAGGAATTTATATGATATTAATTGATACAAAATATTTAGAATGAATAATATTAATTACAAAATTTATTTATCATTTCACTTTTTTTCAAATAACTCTATTAACATTTCTGAATCAAATCTTGAATCTATTAATGCTTAAAATTTATTTTATAAATTAAATCTATCTATTAGTTATTTTTTGTTTGATGGCCATAATGATGGTGGTGGATATATTAAATCTATAGTTAGATATAATGCATTATCTAACATTTAGGTAATTACTTTTTGATGATATTAACAATCAGGAATAAAACTAGGATTTAAATTTAATTCTACTAACCAAGGTTTAAAATCTTAATCAACAATATAATTCAAACCTATAATCTTTATAAATTTTATATATACTTCAAAATTATGATCTTTTACTACTAAATGAGTAAATACTGCTTTTATTGCATGAATTGCAATTGCTTTTAATTAAGGAATCATAGTTTCTTTGAAATTTAATTTAAATTATACGAAAAACTCTTATAATTTATCAATAGATAATTTATTTCCAGGCTCTTAAAGTGAAAATCCTTTTGATTCTTTTTAAATTGGACTATTTGTAAAATGTATTAAAGGATCCAAATCTTATTCATTATATTCTTTACTGCTTGTTCTACCATATACTTCATCATAAAAGTAAACTCTTACAACTCCATTTATTTAACTAATCAACAAATATGTATATAAATCAAATTTCCTTTTATAATACAATAATGGTTTTATATATTTTTAAATTACTAAAGTTTCAAAATTATGATCCTAATTTTTAAATTCAGAAATTATAAAATCATAAACTTGTTTAACATTTTGACAAATCTTCATAAATAATCCATTATTTGCCCATTCTCCAGGTTTTACTATCCATAAAGAATTTTAATTTTTTTGTTATGTTAAAAATATATTTAATTTTGGATCTTGTTAACTAGATATATTAATAGAATAAGGAAAATATTAAAATAAATCTAAATTTAATAATGATGCATATTATTCTAAAAATTTTATAAAGTTCTTCTTAAATCCTATTAATTAATTAATCTCTATATGATTATGCAATCTTCCACTAGGTGAAATTAATGCTAGTTTATGTTCTATTGCAAATTTTATTTATTCTTCATAATTATCTAAATTATATGGGTCAACAACCTTATTCTAACTTTCATCAAATAAAACTCTTATCTTTTATTTTTATAAGAATTAAGAATTAGATCTTTTTGACCAAAAAAAATACACATCATCTGTTTTTTCAATTTATTCACACCACCACCATCTTTTTCTCATTAATTCTTTAATAATAATTTCATTTTCATCAATTACTTCAATATAATAGCTTTGAGATCTTACTTAAGATTATTTCACATAGAATAAATGATTACATTAAAATTTGAATAAAAATTAATAATAACGTGTAAGTTTAACTTAAAAAGGATCTTCTCCAATTCCATTTCCTTATAATCTGCTAGATTTACTAAGTGGTTCATATTATTCTAATACTTCTATTATAACTGGAGCTTGCTTTGTATATATTTTTGGTAACTTCTTAACTTAATTTGGACTCTTTTCTGTTGAGAGATCTTCTTAGATTTTATTATTCTTATGCTTTAATAATGGTATAGGAGACTTTGGTACAAATTACCCTTTTTATGTATATTCTTGTCGCTTTTTTTTCATATCACGTAATACTTTAGCTAGATCTTTTGTTTTTCGATCCTTTTCTTTCTATTCTTAATTTTCAATTATAAGTGGTTCATTCTATATATGATTCTTTGATTTAATTCTAAATATAAAGGCTTTTGGAATGTCATCGATTTAATCATTGTGACTCTAGTTTGAAATACTTCTAAGTTCTCTAAAAATAATTGAATGTTTCTTATAATATGTTCCATTTGATTAATGACTGTAGCTATTATTTGAAATAGTTTTTTAAGATAAAGAAGACTCATTTTATAAATTAATTTTTTCTTTATCTGAACAATTAGGATTTCCTTTTTGAGGTATGCAGGCATAATAATGATGATTTTTTATATTTTCGACGTATTTAATCTTTTTCTATGATAAAATATTCTGCTGCATTATATAAATTTATTTATTCAATTAAAATTAATAAATATTTATAAGTTATAAGTCCAAATCTATCAATCAAGTCAAAGAATAGCATTTTAATTAATATAAATATTTTGGGAAATAGTGTTGTATTTTTACTCTATAATTAATTTTTGAAAAATTAATGCACTGATAAAAATATAAAATATATAATTAAAATAGGTTTTATAGCATATTTTAACATGTCTTAATTTTTATTTATTACATAAAACTTGGTTATTCTGTTTATTAAAAAAAATAAAATAATATATAATTTCTCAGATTCATTTTATAAGACTCAAAATAATAATTATTTCTTCAATTTAATTAAATTTTTAGATGATTTTTAATGTTATAATTCAATGATCTTCTTTTAATGTAAAAATAAAGTATCATTACTTAAAAATAACTCAACCTTAAACACTTCTAATACTCTATTTAAATAGAAATATAATTCATTACTTTAATTTTTAATAAATATGTATCACATTGATTAATAAAAAAGATAATTTTCGATATATTGATATTAATAGATCATAAATATACATATACTTCCATAAGACAATATAAATTTTTAAAGAAAATTCATATACATGTTTCAAATTTTTTATAAGTTTTAATTAATATTAAATTAGTTTAGAAATAATAATTGTAATGAATCACAACGATTACTTTAATTCTTTGAAATCAGATTCCAATTTCAGGGAATCATAATAAATTTGAAGGATAGATCAAAAAGGAGACTAAGAATACCTATATTAATAAAATCTCATCTTTAATAAAAATAGCAAATTTGGAATAAGTGGAAGAAAAGTAATTTAAATAAAATGATAATAGAGCTTGAGAAAAATTAGTTTAAACAAAATCTTTAAATTAAATCTTTGGAGATGGATCTAGTATTTATTTGGAAGAAAAACTAATAAAAAATAGAGAGTCTGGAAGGAATAGTAGAAAGAGAAAGAAAATTTACTTAGTATTATTAGAAGATAAAGTAATTTTAGAGGATAATTTGAAAAATACTTTGGTGTAGAAATGGACGAAGAAGATTCTTTAGATTTATATCAATTTATGATTGAAAATAATAATTGTAATACTCTAGATATCGATATACAACAAATTTATCATTTAAATAATAAATTAAAATTATTTTAAAGAAGAAATTATGAATCAGATGAATAGAAATAGCAATAAAATAAAGATATATGATTATTTAATTAATATTGATGAAAAGTTAAATTAATAGTTTCTTTTTTTTAAATTATAAAAATAATTTTTATGAGTTTTTGATAATTTATTTCTAATAAAGTTTTCTATGTTATTTATTTTATAGAGATTTAAATAAATTAAATCATTTTCATAATGAGAAAAAGCGTTTAGCTAGATTAAGATTATTAAATTAGTAATCTAACATTATAAACAACATGATTCAAAATGAATTAATAATAAGTTCATAATTATAATTAAATGAATAACAATAACATAATTTCAATTTAACTTCTTCAATAACTACGATTACCAATAAGAAATAAAGATTATAACACCTCTATTTAGTAATTTAATTCATTTCTTGGGCAAGTAGAACAATATATTAGAGTGTTTAATCAACAAAATTTAGATCAAATAAAGACTGTTTTTGGAATGATTTTAGAAGTATAGTAATTCTATAATAATATAGGATTTAGATTTCTTACAATTGAAACCTATAATTTAAATTTGGAGAATCAACTTTACTGATCTACTTTAGAATATATTTAACTTATCATTTGCTAAAACACTTTGTCAATATTATGTATAATTAAGTGAATGTAGTCAAATATTTAAAACAACATTATTTAATGAAATCTCTAAATAGATTTGTTAGATTTTTTGTATTCTTTGTTGGGATAAAGATATATCAGATGAAATTAGACATTCAAAATGTTTAAGATCATTCATTCGCATGCTTAGAGTGAATTGCACAGATGATTTATTGTCTTGCTTAGTTATTGTAACTAAAAATAGCAAGAATTCTGAATATATGACTATTAAAAAGAGTTAAGATTAATTACTTTAACTATATAGAAATAATATCAATAGAGAACTAATCTAATTAATTATAGCCAATATGTGTTTTAATTATGATTAAAGATTACTTTTTTGGTGTTAAGGAATTTTATAAATGTTAAAATTAACATTAGATGCTTCATCTTTAACATTGTTATGGAAATTATTATATGATTGTCCTGAAGTTATTGATGAACTCTTAAAATATGCAGAATTCTTTAATCATTTATATAAATAAATTAATACTATCAATGAAGAATGTGCATTGATGATAGGTATAATTAGAAAGATATGTGAAAATAATGAATAATACAAATTATAACATATAGAAAATATAGTCAATATTTTAAGTAACTTTCTTTAAAACATATTAATATCATCAACAAAATATGATCAATAGCATCCTTCTATCAGATAATTTATGTTCAAAGAATTATTCTCTTTTTTTGGAATTGTTGGTAATTAATATATTTAACCTTAAATAATACCTCATATAACTAGTTTAATCTATTAAAATAGTAGTGATAATAGATTATTAACTGTTGGAATTGGTATGTTGACTAATTTAAGTACTTATCCATAAATTTTAAATATTATATAAAATGACAAATTGTTTTATTAGATTATTTTGTAAATTTTAGAACAATTTCATGATAAATAACAATTAATAGAATATACATTAAAATTAATGATTAATACATTAACTAATCAAATTATATCAATTTAATATGCATAACCTAGATTTATCATGAAGTTGTTTTTTATTTGGCATGTTAGTCCTGAGAATATTTCAGTCAATAATCTAATTATTAGAGTATTAAGAGGTTTATATATTATAACAAATGCTAATGCCTAAATATTAAGCTAATGTATAAATGAGTTATAGTAAAGAAATAATACATTTGATTTTGTTGAACTCTGTTCCCTCACTATCAATACAAATTTATAATAAAATAAACTTGAAAATGTTGTTGAAGTATTTTAACTATAATATTTAGATATATATGCTCATATCAATAATTCCTGATCTTAAATTAAATAGCCTTAAATTTAAAAATACAATTGAGTAATACGTTGAAACCATGAGAACAAAAGGAGAATTAAAAAAGGCTTTATAAGCTGTATCTCACTTACCAATGAAGATATTGGATTATAATTCTGAGAATATCAGATATTCATATTTAATATACTGTCTTAATTATATTAATGATTATATTTTTTAGAATTATATGAACTTATTTTACTTCATTTTTTGATTTTGATTTAAATATTTATATAAATCAATAAGAAACCTTTAATGCCTATTATATCTAATTAATATTTTCATTAAAAGAATTAAATCTTTTGTAAATATTATTTCTAATAAAGATAAAAATTAAAGTTACCTCCTCACTCTTTATATATAATTAATACTTTTAATACAATCCTTAAAATAAGGAACCTAATTATTTATTAAATTCATAAAATAAAAAATTGAAATAAATAAAGACTTATATTATTAAAGTTAGAATAAATAAATTAGGTTTTAGAATATATCATAAGAATAATTAGAAAATATCCAGATAAATAAGATAAAACTATTTTATTGAAATTAACTTGATATTCTTTAGTTTGAATTTTTGTATTAAATAAAGAAATTTAATTATAATTTATAACAAAAATTAATAGTTTTGTTATAGTTGAATAGTGAAAAATCAAAACAAAACACAAAATATAATTTCTTTAAAAAAGCATATTTGATCTAATTTAGGATAACCTACATATTTCAATTAGGAGAAAACATATGATTTAACTATTCAATTTCCTTTATGAAGTTCTAAACAATATCATTTATATCATATGAAAAATTGAAATTATTATGATCTTTATCCTCAGGATAAAAAAATGTTTTTCTTTTAGAAGCCAAACTTTTGTAGATGTCTTCTGCCATTGAAATTGGAATAAATTTATCCAATTTTCCATGAATAATAATACAAGGGCATATAATTTTATTTGCTCTTTTTACATTATCAAATTAATCCTAATAAGGTATGATAAATTTTTACATACTTTTAATAAGTTGGCAGCAAAGAAAAAATGCTTTTTGGCAACAGCTTTTATTGATGTGAATGGACTTAATAAAATTAATGCTTTTGGTTAATAAATTGATGCTAAAAAACAAGCTGGACCAGTTCCAATTGACCTTCCAAAAATAGTAAGTTTTGAATCAGGAACTCTTAATTCCAAATTAATATAAATAAACACATCCTCTGCATCCTTCTCAATTTATTACTAGGAAGGTTCCACTTAAGTATAAATCCCATATCCTGGATATTCCATACAAATGACATTTAAGTTCAATCCATTACTCAGAGCAGATGTAAACTCATAGCAAGTTCCTCTTTTTTAATTTAAATAAAATTTACATATCCTCTGCATTACTATGAAAATATAGGAGATATTCATCTGAGTTGGCTTTAATTTATAAACAAGGAATTTAATGTTTATTTTGTTTTGTTCTTATGAATAAAAGTTTAAGTTTTTAATGCCCATCAAAAGTCTTGGAATGATATGAAGGTTAAGGATTCAAGTAAATTAATTTATTGAGACTCAGCATAATAATATAAATATATTAATTGTATTATATATATAAGCAATAACTAACTAATTCAAGATTTAATAGGAAATAAAATAAAACATTAATTACCATTAATAGAGCAAATTATTCTAATTTAAAAGTATATTTGAACAGACAAGATTAAAAATTATAAAAAAACACTTATTTAAATGATTTTTTGTATCAAACTTTATGAATGTTAGCATCAAAAAAGTATAAACATTTATCTTATATTATCAAAAACAATAAAAATGAATATAAATCAATGAAGTAAAATAAAAAAATATAACTTGAAGTTAGCAACAAATACATTTTTCGATAAATTTAATGTTTTAATTAAAAGATGTTGCTAATAAGATTATTTATATATATATTTACATTAATGTACTAAATAAGTTTACATAAATTTTTAGAAACTCAGAATATGTACAAACATAATAAAATGAAAACTATTATTAAAAATGATTCCGAATTATAATATGCTAATGTAGTTATTACTATTAAACAAAGGAAAAAATTATATTTTATCCAAATTATATACATATTACTTCTTAAGATATGATTCAATATTACTTGAATATATTAATGTACATGAAATAAAATCAATTTTAGATGAAATAAACAAAAAAAATGTAAAAGTTGGCCAAAAAAAAAATAATTTTGATATCCCATACGCAGTTAGTTGTGGATTTTATTTATTATGTCTATTTTATTGTTTTAATAATGCAAAATTTGAGTTATGAAATTTATAAAGGTTGAAAATTGAGATGGTAAGATTACTAATTTAAATTCATTTATTCAATAAGAAGGGACAATTAGAAGATGATTATTATCATGATATTGATTTATTATTACATTAATCAATATTATATTTATAAATATATAAAATATAAATATAGATAGATGCGAATCCTTCCATTCAGTAATAGAGTTAGAGTTAAATAGTTATTATATTAATATAGTTTTTATTTGATATAATTTTGCATTCTTGGAATAGTTTCAAATAAAAAATTCATTATAGAATTGATTCAATATTTATTAATTAATTTTTAGAAATATAAAATTAAAAATTCTGCTAAAATGAATAAATTAAACTTATATATTATCTAATAATATATTTATAATTAAATTATCACTCCTGCTGAATTTAAGAATTTGGACTAAAGGTTTCTAATTTAGCTATATAATCTTTTAATTCTTGTGCATTTAAATGTGTAAATTTCAGATTTTTACCTAAAATTCCAACTTCTACATTTTTTTCATTTAATCTATTTAAAAGTATAGATATGTCAATTACTCTTCATCTTCCATGATTGCTTTCTTAATAGCGCTTAATCCATGTAAGATTAATTATTCTAAAGTGCTTTTTTCAAATAAATGGAACCAACTTTCGAAATAAGTTCTTGCTGCTTAAGATCTTGAGCCAATCGCTTAGCATTTATATTCATAATAGTTTCCAGATGGACATGTTTCAAATAAATGAACACCATTAGGATCAATACCAGCAACAAGTAATCCAACACCATAAGGTCTTTTGGCCCCACTTTAGGTTTTATGTTAAGACTCTTTAATTTCTTATAAAAATTATACTTTCAGCTACTTTGAAAACTAATCTTCCAACTGGATGATGAGATTCATAAGTATATTTATATTCTAAGCATTCTGTTCTCATATATTTACATAGTACACCTGTATTTATATATCTGATTTAATACGTGCATCTGCTGTTAATCCAGCAATAGCAATAGCCATATGATCATCTATTTTAAATTATTTCTCTTAATATCCAGCTAATTCTGATGGTTGTCTTTTGAGACTACATAATACAACATTTTCATTTGATTTGAGTCCCAAACATATACTTCCTTATTTGACAGCTTCCATAGCATATTCTACTTAAAATAATTTGCCTTATGGTGACCAAGTGACACAATCTGTGTCATAAAGATGCTTGAGCATAATTTTTTAAATATAAATTTATCACATTGGGATATCATAAAATTTAATAGTTAATTTCAATAATCACCAAAAAACATTGATTTATTAAAATTAGATCTTAATGTTTGAAACATGATTGTCTAAATATATATCTATATCATTAATAGTATTAATATTTCAATTAGATATTATAATATTATCTTTATATGGAATATCTAATCTTTGTATTTTATAATTTAATCATAATTTTTTAAATAAGATTTACTATATTATAGCATTTCTGAATCTAAATAAATTTTAGTTATTATTTTGTTGATTCATATTATTTATAAATATATAAAATATAATTATGCAAAATCATACTCTTTAAACTCTCCATGATTATTGTAATTACAATAACCCAATTTAATTTAAATAAAGAGAACCTTCAACTCCATAATTTTAGAAAAAGTATTTTATGAGATTAGAGGAAAAAAAATAATTTCGAATTAAAAAGTCTAAAGCTGACCTTTTGGATAAAATTCTTTTATAATAGCAATAGTTAACCTCTTCTTTTAAGCCATGGTCAATTCCTAGAAATCTTGAAAATGATGAAACTAATTAAAGAAAAGATCAAAATGATATTAGATTTGTATCAATAAATAATTTGAGAATTAGATGTCTCATCAACAATTCTACATAATCTTAAACTTATAAAGAAATTAATTAAAATAAATACTCAGCTGATAAAAGATTTAGAACTTCCCCAGGCTTGAAAAAAATAGTAAATAATCAAAGTTAAGCAAAAATATTTAGTCTTAATCATATTGTTAATCGAAATTTATAGTAAAGTTTATACTCATAAATGGCATTTAAGTAGAGTTTAGATGATATATCTCCTTGGTGAATAATGAATTGATTTGCAATATTATTTTTAGAATTGCCTTATTTCTCTATTTATTTAAAATTATTAAAAATGCTATAAAATATATCACAAAAAAGAGAGCAATTTATTATAGGACTTAAAAAGAAAGCAAGAGAAGAAACATTCAGAAAAAATAGATTTCCATAATCTAAAGACATAATTCCATTTGTTTCCAACAATATTATTTTATAATAACCATATTATGAGGCATTTGAAAGAGGCAATTAACAGGTAATTAAGTTATTAATTAGAGAAAATTAACTTTATGAATGATAATATTGAAATAGATGAAACATTAGCAGATTGTATTTTCAAAGTTTAGTAATTAAGCAATTATTATAATGAATATGATTGTGAACCTGAGTATGATACTACAAAAGATGTAGAAAGAATATTTAAAGTCTTTAATATAGGCTATCCATAAATTGATGTAGATATCAATATTATTTTTAGAAATCTTGTTTACATATATTGTTAGCCATATCTGCAGGAAATCATTAATAAGTTCAACCGATTCATGAACATATATAAATGCTTGCAGGTTATTATAATTCAACTTACTATACAGAATTATAATAGTATATTTTGGATATCTTTGCAAATATAGCTTGTGATTGTTATCAATGTAGAGATTTGATTTTAGTACTCTAAGTGCCAAAATGTTTATGGTACATTATATATAATCAATAGAAGGAATTATACACTCTAATGTAAACAGAAATGTCTATTTGATGACTTTTATTCTTTGATTATAAATTTGGATAGAATGAAACCAGAAATTAATAAATTTAAATTAATAGAGTTGCATGATATATTGTAGGATCTCTACATTTAACTCTATAATGCCAAAGAAAAATTATGGATTCTCAAGATATTAAACAGAATATATTCTTATGATAAATCAAAATTAGATTTGAGTTTTTTGAATTATCTATTGAAAGGTGATTATGATGAAATTTAATTATGTGGAGAAATATTTAAATATTTTTAGTATGTATCTTTATTAGGTAATATTTGTATTATTATAATAGATAATGAAATTACATTAAATTTTCAATCTTAAATGGCACATACTATAATAAAGACAATTAATAAATATATTGATTAATAAAATATTTTAAGAGGAGAATTAAAATTATTAGTAAAAAAAGGATTTGTTACATTAAGTAATTTTATTACAGATGATCCATAAATTATAAATGAATTTTGGGAAGAAATCCTTCCATATATTCAAAATATCCCTTCTATATTTTTAGAGGTGGATGATTTTTTTTTGTTTCTCCATAATGTAATCAAATTTTCTAAGTGTGAAGATTTAATAAAATTGAACAAAGATTATAAATTAATTAAGTAAATAACATAAGAATTGAATGATTTTTGTGAAGAAAGAGGTAATTAATTTTTATATAATATTCTTTCAATCTTATACAGACTTATCAGTTTAGATTAGGCTAATATGAAAATATTTAATGAAGAAGATTGTGAATCAAGGATTTTATTTGTATAAAAAATGAAAATTTCAGATGAAAATTATGAATTAGCTAATATGATTCTAGATAAGCTTGATTAATGATTTAATATTTGATAGAATTCTTATTTATTTTATTTTCAAATTTAAAAAGTCTTTGAAATAATTCAATTTAAAGGAAATAGAATTTTATATTATATTGATAATACTAAATTTCATAATAATTTGTAAAATAATATTTATATAAACAATAATAAAATTTAAAAAATACAATTTTGGGGAAATAATGAATCTCTTCAAATAGAAAGTGACTTACTATTACGATGAAGAATTTGGCACATTTAATTATTCAACAACTCATCCAATGAAACCTTTGAGGGTTGCCATAACAGATGATTTAGTGGGCCATTATGGACTAAAATAATATATGAATTGTATTGTAAGATGTATTCATTTTTAGGTTTAGGATTAATCTTTTGTTTAAACATATATCAAAATGGTAGATGAAGAGGTATTGACTTAATTTCATTCTGAAGAGTATATTAATTTAATTAAAATAATTACACCAGAAAATAAATGTCAACATGAGGATTAATTATATCGATGTATAGAATTAATATTAGAAATTAAGTCAATTTTATGGAAGATTGCCCTGTTTTGGATAGATTATTTGATTTTTGTTTATGTCAAACTTCTGGATCTGTTGGAGCAGCTTGTGTAATAGCAGATTAGAAGAGTAATATTGCTATAAATTGGAGTGGTGGATTACATCATGCAAAATAAAGTGAAGCAAGTGGATTTTGTTATGTCAATGATTGTGTATTAGGAATATTAGAACTATTAAAAACATATTAAAGAGTACTTTATGTTGATATTGATATTCATCATGGAGATGGAGTAGAAGAAGCATTCTATTTAACTGATAGAGTTATGACTTGTTCTTTTCATAAATTTAAAGAATACTTTCCTGGAACTGGACATATTGATGATATTGGACATGATAAAGGAAAATATTATGCAGTTAATTTTCCATTGAATGAAGGTTTAAATGATGATTCTATATAATTAATATTTAAACCTGTGATTGATAGCATTATGGAAAATTTTAGACCAGATGTAGTAATGTTATAAGGAGGAACTGATAGTCTCAGTGGAGATAGATTGGGTTGTTTTAATTTGAGCATAAAAGGTTTTAATTAAATATATTAATCTAGGTCATGGTTCTTGCACTGAATATCTTAAAAAATTTAATGTCCCTATCATAATGGTAGGTGGCGGGGGTTATACTTTAAGAAATGTTCCTCGTTGTTGGACTTATGAAACTTCTCTTGCTTTAAATGTACCAATTCCTGATAATATTCCTGATGAATCTGATTATAAGGTTTACTTTGGTCCTGAATATAAATTACATTTACCTATCTCTAATATGGAAG